TATGGTGTTGTACCTTGTTCTCAAGAACATGGTGTGATTTATTGATAAGCTTTTTTAGTAAGGTTCTTTTTTTTTTTTTTTTTTTTTTATCATCCTCACCCGAGGACACTTTTCCATTTTTGTTCAGATAGAGCGGGAGGGAGGGAGAGGAAGAGAGAGAGAGAGAAACATCGACGTGAAAGGGACACATCGAGTGGTCGCCACCCGCACAACCAACCAGGGCCGGGGACAAACTGCAACCGAGGTACATGCCCTTAGCGGGAACCGAACCCGGGTCCCTCTGGACCGCAGGCTGACGCTCTAACCGCTGAGCCAAACCGGCCAGGGCTAGTAAGATTCTTTATGCTTTTGGTTATCTCTTTTGTATTTTGATTTTGTTGCTATTGGGAATATCCTCCCAATTATTATTTTTTAAATCAAGTTGTTATTTACAGAGAAACTTGATTTTTGCCTGTTTATTTTAAAGTTGATCTAGTTAAATTATTCTAACATTTTTTCAGATGATTGAGGATGAGGGGTTCCTTATCAGCACTGCTGGGTCATCTCTACCTATACTCATTCCACAGGAGTTGGGGGGGGTGTTAGTGGTTGACACCCCCACTTCACATGGGTCTGGTTCTCGAACCATCTGGTGAAGTAACAAATTCCAGAACCACCTTTTGTGGGAATAAGTAGCCCAGCACTTTCCCTTGAGCTTCAAGGCTAGTTCCAGAGACCTTGGTGGGCTGGAAAGAGGAGTTATGCAACGATTTCTGTGCAGTATATTTAGCACACACAATGTTCAAAAAACACAAAGGTTATGACAGCTAACATTTACTGGGCCCTTTGTTCTAGTTACTGTTCTAAGCATTTTGTAATTATTACTCCATTTATCATTTGTGTCATGAGGCTCATGCTGTTATCCTTATCTTATTCTTGACAAATTTCAAACAGAGACGTTAAGCTTTAAGGAATTCGGCCTAGTTGAACCTGCCTGGTCTGGCTTCAAAGCCAGCTTAATTGCTATGTTGCCAATAATTACACTCCTCCCTTTTGTGGAGGAAAGAAAAACATTGTCAATGTACAATACTGGGCCTGGGAGGGGGCAGCTCAAACAGACATGGTTACTGGGCGTGTATACAAGTTCTCTCTACCAGCTGTCTCTGGGGTTTGAAAAGAAAATTGTGTGTGTGTGTGTGTGTGTGTGTGTGTGTGTGTGTGTTTACAATGCACATGTCTTTTTACAATCAGGAAAACAATAAAGCTGTTTAAATTGGTGGTGGGGTGAGGTTATTTTTCTAACCACTGTTACATAGGATTTCTTGTGCTTTGCCTTGGAGGTTGGGTAGTAACGTTGCAGGTGTGATAAAGAACAAGGTAAAGCCCTGGCTGGTTTGGCTCAGCCGTTAGAACGTTGGCCTGTGGTCTGGAGAGACCCGGCTTCAGTTCCCGCTAAGGACACGTACCTCGGTTGCAGTTTGTCCATGGCCCTGGTTGGGTCGTGTGGGTGGCAGCCACTCCATGTGTCCCTTTCACGTCAATGTCTCTCTCTCTCTCTCTCCCTCCCACTCTATCTGAGCAAAATATCAAAAAATGTCCTCGGGTGTGGATTAAAAAAAAGAATAAGGTAAATATGCTGACATGCAGAGACCTAAGATTAAATGAAACATGACATATAGAAGAGTATAACTGTAGTTCTAAATAGTTTTGTGTTTATGCAAACACGTGTCAAATGCATAATGTTTTGAAGGGTACTTTCAAATCTATTAGCACTTGAATTCTTTGGCAGAAGAGGAACATTTTTTAACTTTCCTTTTTTAACTTCATTATATTGCTTTTGTCATCGTAAAAGTGTATTTATGTATATGTTTATGTACAGTGAAAATCAAGTACTCTGAGAACTGCAGGAATATATAGCCTTTAATACAGATGTTTACCTTCCAATCATTTTTTTATATATAATTTTTAATCCTCACTCGATGTGTATATTTTTATTGATTTTTTCATCTTCACTCGAGGACATTTTTCCATTTTTTTGTTTAGATAGAGCGGGAGGGAGAGATAGGAAGAGAGAGTGAGAGAAAGGGACACATCGAATGGCTGCCTCCCGCACAACCCAACCAGGGCCGGGGACAAACTGCAACCGAGGTACGTGCCCTTAGCGGGAACCAAATCCGGGTCTCTCTGGACCGCAGGCCGACGCTCTAACCGCTGAGCCAAACCGGCCAGGGCTATTTTTATTGATTTTTAAAGAGAGAGAGGGTGGGGAAAGACAGAGAGGGAGAAACATCAGTGTGAGAAAGAAACACTGATACTTTGCCTCCTCACACGCCCTTACTGGGGATAGAACCCCAAACCTAGGTGTGTGCCCTGACTGGGAATCGAACCTGCAACCTTTTTGGTGTATGGGACGACACTCTAACATCTGAGCCACATTGGTCAGGGCTTGTTGAATAGGTTCTTGAATAGATTATTAAACATGTTGCTTGTAAACATTTAAGGAAATAGACTAACTTTATTTTCTTCTTTGGAAATTTTAAGAACACCATACCCAAAACATAACTAATTGACCCATGCCCCCTTGGAAGGAGTTTATTATCTCTCGCAGCTGTGTTGGACCCCGGGCTACCATTTGCACAGGGTTACTGATGAAGCAGATGAACTGTGGGGAGCAGGCCCTCATCAGGCTTTCTCTTTCTGATGGCCGAGCGGGAAAGGGTAAGGGGCAGTTGGGCAGTGCTCCTGACTCCAGGAAGCGCGGAGTAGGAAGGAGCAGTGCGCTGAATGTAACAAGTAGAGGTATTTAAGATTCTGTATTTGATTTAAAAACAACAACAACAACTGAACAAACACAAGCCTGGATTTAACAAAAGTGATTGAAATTACAGGTTGATATAAACTGAAAAGCATTTAAGCCTTACCCACTTACAGTAGGGACAAATACATCTACGTATGTTAATGATATAATACAGTAATGCTCTCAGGATATATTAGAATAAGTTCTTTTTCTTCTGATGATCTTGATAGGTAAAGATGAGAAATATGAAGGCATTAAATATGTAACATTTTATAAAAAAGTAAATGAGGATGCTTAAATAAAATAAGCTTGCCATTTAAAAAGGTAAACTGGTTATATAGAAATATTACCTGCACCCTAAGCTTCAGTTCTCACAGGTGTCAAATTAATAAGGAATCCTTCAATCCCTTAGATTTCTAAAGGTTTACATATTTTACTTATTAATTGAGTGTCTCCGTTTAAAAGATGGGAAGGAGCTACATTGCTAAAGATGTACGGCCTTTCCCCACGATGTAATTGTGATTTATGTGAAACTAAACAGGTGCTTAAGAATGGGAGTGTGGCCCTGGCCAGTGTGCTCAGTGGTTAGAGCGTCAGCCCGTGGACTGGAGAGTCCCAAGTTCGGTTCCTGCTAAGGGCATGTATCTTGGTTGCAGTTTGTCCCTGGCCCCGGTTGGGGTCGTGTGGGTAGCAACCAGTAGATGTGTCTCTCTCACATAAATGTTTCTCTTCCTTCCTCTCTCCCTCCTGCTCTACCTGAAGATAAATGCAAAAATCCTCAGGTGAGGATAAAAAACAAAAAGAATGGGAGTGTGTCTTCTGCATTCTGACCCCCTAGGTCAGTGGTTCTCAACCTTCCTAATGCTGCAACCCTTTAATACAGTTCCTCATGTTGTGGTGACCCCCAACCATAAAATTATTTTTGTTGCTACTTCATAACTGTGATTTTGCTACCCCTGTGAAAGGGTCATTCAACCCCCAAAGGGGTCGCAACCCCACAGGTTGAGAACCGCTGCCCTAGGTGAACTTTTTTGCTGCCAGTTTTTTTGTTTGTTCATTTGTTTTTTCTATTTTGAACTGTTTGTTTTTTTTTTATCCTCATCCGAGGATATTTTTCCATTTTTTGTACAGGTAGAGTGGGAGGGAGAGAGAGGAAGGGAGAGAGAGAGTGAGAAACATCGACGTGAAGGGACACATCGAGTGGCTGCCACCCACACGACCAACCAGGGCTGGGGACAAACTGCAACTGAAGCACGTGCCCTTAGCGGGAACCGAACCCAGGTCTCTCCGGACCGCAGGCCGACGCTCTAACCGCTGAGCCAAACTGGCCAGTCTCTATTATTGTCCACTTTGGGAAAAGCAGTGTGGAAAAAAATACTTTTATTTCAAAGTCCACATCAAAAACAGTTAGGCAGATTGGCAGTTGGGATGGAGGTCAGCATCTTTTAGGTTTGGTTACTGTTCATGGTGAGGAGCAAGGGGAAGGACGAGGAAAGACAGAGAGAAATGCAGACAGGAAGGAGAGCCGAGTAGGTAATGGGAGACTGGTCAGAGCTGTTCAGTGCTGAAGGCTTCACGTCTTTCTTCAGCTTTATAAGAATAATCACGCCTCCAAAATAAACAAACAAAATGGAAACAGATTCATAGACACAGAGCAAACTGGTTGCCAGAGGGGAGGGGTTTTGGGGGGTTGAGTGAAAAGGCGAAGGGATTAAGAAGTACAAATTGGTAGTTGCAGAGTAGTCCCAGGAATGTAAAGTGCAGCATAGAGAATAGAGTCTAATACTGCACTGTGTATTGTGCTAGGTGGGTACTTGAAATATCAGGGGGAACACTTTGTAAAGTATGTGATTGTCTAACTACTATGCTGTGTACCTGAAACCAATACAAAATGACATTACATGTAAACTGTAATTGAAAATTAAGATTTAAAGTTTGAAAAAAGAAAAGAGAAAGAAAGAATAATTACTTCCCTAGGCTGGTCAATTATTTTTTCTATTGATATGTTATGCACATTTGGAGATGTACTTTTTAAATCTTTTAGAATACTTTTGTTCTCCAAAATGTGTAAGAGTTTCCCCCCTTTTTTTTTTTTTTTTAATTTGGTAAAACAAGAGGCTTTGGTATTCTGTATTTGAGGATTAGTTGGAATTAGCTGGATTAAAAAAAAAAATGTTAACTGGGATTCTTAAGGACTAATGAGAAAACATCTGGCTCTTGTCAGCACCCCAGACCCTTCCCCAGGAAGCTGCTATCCTGTGGGGTGTGTCCTGGCTCCAGGACCCCCATACTGTGGAGGCCCACCTCGTGCATGCATCTCATGTCTGCCCATTCTTCACAAAGGATCGAGGTTGGTGTGACATGTTGTGAGAAGATATTCCACAACATGACCAGCAGAATTCTATCTGCTTTTGCAGCTGTATGAGAAAAATCCCTTAGCACAATTTTCTGTACTTGTAGTGACTTAAGGAAAATGAATGCTCCCAGAATTCCCTGCCTGCAGCCTGTTCTTTCCGCCCCACTTCCCAGCCTCTCTGTAAGATGGGGGAAGGGATCAGATGCCATTTCTCCACTGACAGACTGTGCACTACCATTTGTTTCTTTCCAACATTTTATTATGAAAACTCTTAAACGTGTAGAAAAGCTGAAATCATTTTTATTGGACGCCATAAACCCACTATCTAAATTTTATAAGTAGCATTTACTATACCTACTTTATCACATATTCACCCATCAATCCATCTTATTATTTTTTTATCCTCACCCGAGGACATTTTTTTCGGTTGTGGTTGTTGTTGTTGTTGTTCAGATAGAGAGGGAGAGAGAGAGAGAGAGAAACATTGACGTGAAAGAGACACATCGAGTAGCTGCCTCCTGCACGACCCAACCAGGGCCGGGGATAAACTGCAACCGAGGTACATGCCCTTAGGGGAAACCGAACCCGGGTCTCTCTGGTCCGCAGGCTGATGCTCTAACCGCTGAGCCAAACCAGCCAGGGCTTATTATTTTTTTATGTATTTCAAAATAAATGAGTATTTTTGGTTTCTCTTATCTTTTATTAGTAACTGTGAATTCTAAAAAATTTTTTTTTAATCCTCACCCGAGGACAGTTTTTGCATTTGTCTTCAGAAAGAGCAGGAGGGAGAGAGGGAGGAAGAGAGAGAAACATCGATGTGAGAGAGAGACACACATCGACTGGTCGGAACCCACATGACCCCAACCGGGGCCAGGGACAAACTGCAGCCGAGGTACATGCCCTTAGTGGGAACCGAACCCGGGTCTCTCTGGTCTGCAGGCCGACGCTCTAACCACTGAGCCAAGCTGTGAATTCTGAATCCTTGCTCTAAGGATTTCAGGCATCGTTGAGCAAGTGTGAGAGAGCACCCTGGCAAGCACACGGGCCTCGCATGGTTCTTGCACGTGGTCGGCGTTCAGTAAATGTTTCCTAGGTGAATGCAGTTCCATTCCTGCTGTTGGACTAGCCTGGAGGTAAACTTCAGTTTATCTCTTAGGGCAAATAATTACGTTAAAAATAAATCATATGTTTCTAGGTACGTGTGAACCTCAATTTATAAGATGGATTTCCTTCTATAAGATAGTCCATGAAAGACATTTATAGAGAATTTGAAATGGTTAAAAAAGATATATTTATTGTTTATCATAAAAGTACATATAAAATACATTTTTATAACAGTGGTTCTCTCTCTTGGAATACATGTGTGGCAAGATTAAAAGGCATCTACGTTTCTGGGTTGGTGCCTCAAGGACCCTCTTAGGGAAGAGGCCAGAGGAGTAACCTCACATCAACCAGAATATCTTCCCTTTAATCTGTTTTCTGTGAAATTAAGATTTCTTTGCAGGAAAAAGTTTGAAAATTACAGGTGTTCAGGTTACCTGGCCAGTCTGCATAGCCCTATAAATCATCGTGTAGTGGGTAGGGTGGTATTGTAGAAGAGTTTACATATATCAACATTCCTAGTTTACTCGGCCAGGGATCACGCGTTATCAAAGTTCATCCCAGTGGCTCTAGGTCAGTGGTTCTCAGCCTTCCTGATGCCGCGACCCTTTAATAGTTCCTCATGTTGTGGTGACCCCCAACCATAAAATTATTTTTGTTGCTACTTCTTCATATTTGTTACTGTTATGTCTTAGGCGACCCCTGTGAAAGGATCGTTCGACTCCCAAAGGGACCGCGACCCACAGGTTGAGAACCACTGCTCTAGATAAAGAATAGTGGAGTTTTAATGACAAAGGGAAGATCTACAGATGCCTGACTCTTATGTGCCTACATAGTTGTGCGTCTCTCTGTGCATCTCTTCGGTCCCTGAGTGTTCTCAGAATGAACACTGTCTGTATTTCTACTTTTTATCTCCTGGAAAGGAAGAGTATGCCTTTTCCCCTGATGAAATAGGTGTATTTTGAGGACTTTTGGGGGACCGATGTCTAAATGAAGTGTGGGCAGCTACCAGAAACCTTCCCCGTTTTCAAAGCAGGACGGCAGCTCTCACCATGCTGTGTGTCATTCTTCCTCACGAGAGGGCTGACGAATCATTTGGGGATATGTTTCCTTCCGAAACAGCCCTGGCCCCTGTCATGAAGTGTCTGTTCATATCAGCATGTTTACAAAGTGAACTTAAAGGTGGTTCGTTGTTTTTTTTCCACTAAGTTTATATTTGTAACTTCTTTTCCTTCCCATTCCCAACAGGCTCGGGTTATGTATGATTTTGCTGCTGAACCTGGAAATAATGAACTGACGGTTAATGAAGGAGAAATCATCACAATTACAAATCCAGTAAGAGAACTATTGCATTTAAATTGGGTTGTCCCTTAAGGACTTATTTTTAAGATTTTATTTTTTAATAAGTTGATCATTCAAACTCACATGAATTTTTTCCTGTTGCTTATGAAATATTGATAGTAAAGTAAGACTATTTTATAAACGTTGAGAAAAGTTAAGTCCCCTAAGGATAGCTGGGTTGGGTTCTATCAAATAGAAATGGAAAGAGACATCCCAGCCAAATCAAAGGCGTAGAAATTAGACAGCATTCAGTGTTTCTTAGAAGTCTCAGCTGCCATTATTGACAGCCTGAGAGCCAGGTGTTTAGCTAAGTGCTATGCATATTTTCTTTAGTATTTTCCCCATGAACTCTGTGAGGTTGGTATTTTTCATCTCTTTTTACAAATGAGGGTAATGAGACTTAGAGAAGTTAAGTAACTTGACCAGGATCATTCTGCTTGTAAGTAGCAAAACAAGGATCAAAACCACATCTGTTTGGCCTCTAAGCCTCTGCCTTTTCTCTTCTGCTGGGGAACACTACATGTAAACCAGTGTCCCAGGAGTCCAGCATATGTACAGACCAGTAGGAGAAGGCTAAAACTGACTCTTAGAGCCAAATCAGAAAGGACTTGTGCGCCAGGCTGCACATAGCCTTTGGATTCATTTGTTGAATAGTGGATTCATTTAAGGGTTTTGCTTGGTTCTGTTGCTGGTGGTGCTGTAGGGAGGTGACATGATGAGACCTGCACCTCAAGGAGATTAATCTACTGGAGACATGTCGAATGAATTGGAATCTAGGGACATGACTTTGGGTTATAGCCACAGGAGTTGAAAAAATATGGATATAGGTGGCTTTGGAGAGTCAGGCCCAGAAGAGATACTGTTGGTGAGAAAAGAGTCAAGGATCCCTGAGGTTTTTGTCCTGTACACCCAAGACAGTGATGGACTTATGTATGTAAGTCAGGAGGAAGGATTAAATGTGCTTACTTTTAGATATGTTGAGTTTAAAGAATAGTAAATAATCAACTCTGGCCTGTAACTTTGCATCTGTTTAAAAATAGAAATGCAGGCCCTGGCCGGTTTGGCTCAGCGGTTAGAGCATTGGCCTGCGGTCCGGAGAGACCCGGGTTCGGTTCCCGCTAAGGGCATGTACCTCGGTTGCAGTTTGTCCCCGGCCCTGGTTGGGTCGTGCGGGTGGCAACCACTTGATGTGTCCCTTTCACGTCAATGTTTCTCTCTCTCTCTCTCTCTCTCCCTCCCACTCTATCTGAACAAAAAATGGAAAAATGTCTTCGGGTGAGGATAAAAAAAAAAAAAGGAGATGCAGGGCTGGAGATGAGGACTGGAGATAGGCCAGCTCCCTGGACATCTCTGACAGGAAGCAGATGAGGAAGGTGCCAGGAAGGCCGAGGGGACTCCAGGACAGGAAGGAGAGGGAGATGTGTTCCGCCGGGAGGAGGAGGAGGACTAGCACAAAGAGCAGGGAAGGAGGAGAGCGGTGGCCAAGAGGGTGGGGGTTCTAATAGTGATAGTATTTTTTAAATGTATTTATGTCATGGATATAAAAGTGTAGAAAAGTATATGTAGTTTCATAAAATATCCTAGGTGTATGTAAGTAAGTGGATTCTGTTTTTAATCATAGAAGAAATTTAGAATCTTTTATCTGTCTGATTTTTAAAAATGATATATTCTTCATATCTTGGAAAAATAGTATTGTCTTTAAGTTGCTGTTGTCAAAAATATACAAAGTAGTGGCTTCAAGTTTTTTAAAAGAATGTTTTATCTCGATTCAGGTTATTAACTAATTAGGGCACAACTTAAGACAACTTTTACTGTTTTAAGGGGGGAAAGTGGGACTTTGCTGAAATAATAAGTTGAAAAATAGGAATCCTGATATAGAGTATTATTTAGTTTATTAATATTACTTATTAAAAAGAGCAAAGGAACCAGTTGATATGTTAATTAGCTTTTCCTAAATAATAGGCAGTTGCAAAGCTTAGAGGCTAAAACAAACAACCATTTGTTGTTGCTCAGGAATCTACCAATCAGCTGGATGTTTCTATCAACCTGGGCTCACTCATGAGCCTGCAGTCACCTGGCACCAAGCTGGTGCCCTGTGTGCTAACATGACCTCACTCACCCAGTACTTGACTGGCACTGTTCCTGCTGGGGGTGGGCCGGCTTTGAATGGGGTGACAGGCAGATTGGGCCTTGTCTTCAGCATCATCTGGCAACCCGGCTGTATTCACATAGCAGCTCTTTTCGGGGGAAAGCAGTCTGAAATGTGCAAAGCCTCTTGAGGCCAGGCTCTGAGCTCACCTCATCATTTCCATCTCATTCTTTTGGCCAAAGAGGTCACAACGGACAGTGGAGATTGTGGAGGTGGGGGTGTGCTTTTCGCTTCTAAATAGAGCTGTAGATCATCTTTGTGACCTCCCACAGACCAGAAGATAGGAGGGAATTACACAATGGTGGCATTCTGTTAATAGGCTATTTTAAAATCTTTGATCACTTACTGTTGAAGTTTGATATTTCTTATTTTTAGATTATATCATTTTCTGGAGTAAAGAGGAGGCTTATAAATTTAAAATTTTGAACTGTGTATTACGTGTATAACAAATCCGAAAGCAAAATTTTTGCAGGAATTTCCAACTATAGTCTTTTTTTTCTTTCTTCTTTTAAAAAAATTTTCTTAGGATGTTGGTGGAGGATGGCTAGAAGGAAGAAACAGCAAAGGAGAACGAGGCCTTGTTCCCACAGACTATGTTGAAGTAAGAACTCACTATCATTTATTAATTAAAGTCTTTTTCAAACATCTTTTTATGAATTATCAACTTAAGGGACAGACTGGAAGAAAGCAACTGTATTTTTAATAAGAAATATTTTCATTATAAAAGTAATACATGCTAATTTTATAAAATGTGTAGAATACATTGAAGTAAAACTAAAAAATAAATTAGCTGTAGACCCAAGTTCCAAAGAGTGACTCCAGATATTTAGGTTAAGTTCTTCCCAAGGATGGCAATGTTTAATTATTCTGAATATAAGTCCCTATTTTCCATTTGCTTATATTGTGTAATAGCTGCTGCCTACAATACTGTTTATAGTAGAATTGATTCACAAAGTTTAAATAGATTTTTTTAAAGTAGCTTACTTCTCCCTGTGCTAATTTAGGACATTTCTCTCAGTTCCTTCTCCCATTCCCATAGTCAGAAGGGTCTTGAATGAGCTGCTGTGAACCATTGCCTGGTTTAAGCTCTGTTATGATAGATGACAAGGATAGTGTTACAACATCCTGAATGAATGAGGCTCCCTGCCTGCGACACACCCACTCATCTGACAAACCCTCTTGTGAGCCTGCCTCCTGGCGTCCCCTGCTGGTTGTCTGTAGGTCACTCAAAATTAAGTACTGGGTATACAGTGAGCTTGCCCCTCATCAACCATGACAGAAACCAAGATTGATTGTAGGTGCCCTGTGAGTAAAATCTGAGTGAGATCCAGAATAAAGTTACCCGTGCTCCTCTCCAGTAGAGGAGCTGTACCCTGGGAAGACGTTTACCTGGGCACTGCCTGTCTCTTGTGCTTGATTGAATCCGGGTGGAAAGTCTTGAACCCTTTGGAGAATCTGAACTCTAGCCCTTCTCAGAAATATGTGCATTTGCACGTACCCCAGTCTTTTCCATATAGTTTCAGAGGGTTCACAGGCCCCTGTACTCAGTCCACATGTTTTATGTCTATGTCGTGTTTTAGCTCTGTGCAGTGTGCGTTCAGGATTCTAAAAATGGACAAGAATGAGAAAAATCTGAGGACTTAAGTAGATACTGGCATGAATTGCATTTTCTAGATTTCTGCATATTTACAGAAAGGAATAGTTATAAATGTTCTTGGGCTTGCTTGCCTTTCAGGAATATAAACCCTTTTTTTTCATAATAACTGACAATTCTTATTGCCCTCAGGGCCTCTAACTCTGAAATAATTCTAATTTATGAAAAATAATTGTGATTTTTTTTCTAACATTCAGATTTTGCCCGGTGATGGAAAAGATCCGTTTTCTTGTGGAAATTCAGTGGCTGACCAAGCCTTCCTCGATTCTCTCTCAGCAAGTACAGCTCAGGGTAACTCGTCAGCTGCCAACAGCAACAATCAGGCAAGTCTTCCATCACCCTGCTGGGGGTGCTGGCCTGACCGGGAGCAAAGTGTGCTTGGGGAGCTTGTGATGTGTTACAGCTCTCGGGTGTTTGTGTGGCGTATCTGTCGGGGACTAACAGAGAGCTTGCTTGTTGAACCTGCTAAAGACTATTTATAAAGTTGATTATAAGAGAACTGGCAGGGTGTTCATCAAGAATTGCCTTTAAAAGTTTGGCACAGTCTGAACACAGACCCTGTACGTTGTGAATACCCTGTCAAGTTAGGGTGTGGAAAGAAAAGAAGGGTTCTGTGCTGAGGGATCAGTGTCGGAGCTCTGGCTGGGACAGGAGCGCTTTGTCCGATCTTGGCACTTTATTCCTGTTCTCAGCTAGACCCCCTTGTCACAGCGGCAGCACATGTAAAAGTGACCACGATCCAGCGCTCCGCCCTCGGTGCTGCTGTTACACTGCTTCTAGGAGGCTTGGATAGTGGGATGATTTGAGAAAACTGCACTGAAATTTTACATGACTTCTAATGGAAATATCAGTTTAGATGATGCTGCCTAGTTCGGTTATTGCTAGTTGATTATCCACAGTGAGTGACAGCAAGAACATTGAGGGGATGGATATCAGAATATTACTGCTGTCTACATCTTAGAATGAATGGACTTTAGGGTATATTATTTCTTGAGATTTTTTTTAACTATTAGGTTCTGCATGTCTCAGTTTCCTCATCAGTAAAACCTCATGGAATTGTTGGAAATAGCAAATGGAAAAATAATTCTAAAGTATTCAGAACAGTGCTTGGTACTTAAAAGGGGTTTAATAATTGTTCATTAAGGTTATTTTATACAGCACTGCCTCTATAATAAGACATTTAGGGGCTCCCCCATTGCCTCCTGAAACAAGTAACCATTTCTACATGCAAAGAGAAAGAGCTGTTGAGGAGATAGTCACTATCCTGTCAGTTAGAATAACCAAGCAGACACTGAACAGTGCATGGTAGGAAACTGTGTGAGAAATTCACCTGAATTTGAGGTGGGGCTAGATACTTTTCCAACCTCGGTTTTATTTCTGTGATTCTTCAACACAGCTCTGTCCTTACCTTATCCTTAGTCATATATTAGGCTCTAGCCAAACTGGCTGCTCTCCAGATATGCCTCATGCTACCCCATCTTTTCTTTGTATCTTTGTTCTTCCAAGAGTGATAGAATAACTCCTTCTGTCTTTCAGAAGTCTGCCTAACACTCAAGGTTCAGGTCAAATATCATGTTCTTTAGAAATCTTTGTTTGTGTTTTATTTTTCTTTTCCCCTTTGCTTCCCCTCGATTCTTGTAGCACTATTTGAGACTCATAAATATTTTAAAATTATAAATTATTTGTAAGCGTGGTGAGGAGCAGAGACTTTGTCATCTTTTTTCTTGTGACCTATAGAAGCTTTATCACAACAGTGCTCTGTAAATGTTAGCATAATTTTTTGGTTCAGTCATAAACATATCAAGAGGTATTTGCACCCTGGCTGGTATGGGTCAGTGGTTAGAGCACACCAAAGGGTCTTGGGTTCAATTCCTAGCCAAGGGCACATACCTGGGTTGCAGGTTTGAGCCCTAGCCCCAGTCAGGGTGCATGCAGGAGGCAACCAATTGATGTGTGTCTCTCATATCAGTTTCTTTCTCCCTCTCTCCACCCCACATCAGCCCCACCCCTCTCTCTTCCACTATCTCTAAAAATCAGTGGAAAAAATATCTTCAGGTGAGGATTAACAAACAACAAAAAAATGATATTAACAATGGAAAATGTTTTGAGATTTGCTGATTTTAACCTAAATCCCTGTCTAAAGGTTTGTGTTCTCAACATTGGCCGTGGGACCGGGAGCATCACTAGCCCATCATTCTGCCATCTGCTGGGTTACCAATAAAATGATTCTCTTACAGAAAATCCTCTGGGATTGTTACTGCCTTTTAATGTTTAGATATTAGACAAATGCTCTAAGTAAAGTGAGTATTTAGGGATGTAACATCTTTTTAATATGCAGGGATTTTCAATGTAATGATAACTTGTTATGAAGGAATTTTATTGGTTAAGAGATGAGGAAAGCGATAGTACTGTTATGTTACAGCTATATTTTGCTCTCTTATTTCTCAAAAAAATAATATCAATTTTTAGATCATTTTAAGGCCATTTTGTACTCCATGTTAAATCAGCAGAAACCTTCACAAAGGTATTAAGTTTGCTTATTATTTTGTGATCTCAGATAAGGTCTGTAATGCCATTTGACCTCTCATAATTGTTTATTGAGATTTTTTCTTTACAAAAAACCTTATTGGAAAGGTTCTCTCTGTCTCCCCAACCCCCACTCTCACACCCAAATGAGTCCTTTCGGTATTAGGTCACAGGGCTTTGTAAAGGAGGTTGTATACATCTATTTATCGGTTTTGTTAACATATTTCTTCAAAACTGCTCTAGGCTGGCAATATGGCCTTGTCGGTCCCAGATTCTTGCCTCATATGAGAAGCTGTGTGCATCTGGGGAACCTTTCAAAGCCACATGCTGGTGAAATTTATTGTGTAGGGTCATTTTGGTGTTTTATTGTTTGTTTTTGTCTAACAGGAAACAATTGACAAAAGCAAAAGGTTTGTTTTGTTTTGTTTTACCTTAAAACAACTATGATAAAGGTTTAGTCAGCCTTGTTCTGTGCACAGCCCATCTTCAGAAGAGTGTTCATAAAAGCTCATTAAGCATGGACTTTTACTAGACAGATCTATCTGGAAGCAAATGGTCTTTTGCTATTTGTAGCATTGTCCTATTTGGTACAGAAAGCCACCCATTTTAAAACTTTGTCTTAATAAAATGAGTAAATTCTCTAGGCTAATACAGTGTTATCCATGTTATAAGGCAAATTTTATTTTAATTTTCTTATAAAATAAATATCCGGTTTGGCTCAGTGGTAGAGCGTTGGCCTGCGGTCCGGAGAGACCCGGGTTCGATTCCCGCTAAGGGCACGTAGCTCGGTTGCAGTTTGTCCCCGGCCCTGGTTGGGTTGTGCGGGTGGCAGCCACTCGATGTGTCCCTTCACGTCGATGTTTCTCTCTCTCTCTCTCTTCCTCTTTCTCCCTCCCGCTCTATCTGTACAAAAAAATGGAAAAATATCCTCGGGTGAGGATAAAAAAAAAAAAAAAAAGAAAGAAAAAATAGTTGGTGATCCTTTTCAGTAAATGTCTATTTCACTTAATAATCCAGGCCAATTTTAATTTTTCTAGCTGACCCAGTAATGGCCTTTATGATTTGTTTGAAAGCTAGTATCCAGTGTAGGACCAAGCATTACATCTGATTATGTTCATAATATCCCTGTTATGTTTTCTCCATATGACCATAAAGCAGTCTGTCAGATACCAATTTAATGCTGTTAACCATTCACCTAGTGGTTTACCACCAGTCCTGGCCTGCCTGAGTCGGTACTGTTCTTCCTTCGCGTTCACGGCTGGCTCTCCTCTGCGAAGCAGCACTTCCTCCTCCACTGACGCCGCTAGCTGCCCGGGAAAGTTCTGTTGGAGTTCAGTACAGATGTCCAGTTCTTTCCCTTTAATTGCCAGTGTTCAAAATAAGAAGTTGTTTTATTAGCTGCCTCACATAGCAACAAATGAGTTTTTTAATCTTTCTTTTATTGAGTATGATTAGGGACCCATGGCTTTACTAGTGGTGGTGGTTTACTAGAGTGGTGTTTTCCTTTTGCTTAAAATTGTCACCTCCTAGAAGCCCATCCAGAGTGTTCTTCTGTCATCAATATTTGGAAATGTTCTTGCTCTTAAATATTGCTAATTCTACCATCGTCTGTTATGACTGGGGCAGCTTTGATTGATTTTTTCTCGTCATGGGTCATATTCTCTCGCTTCTGTCCGTGCCTGGTGATTTGTTACTGATGCCAGACATTTGCGATTTCCAGCTTGTTACTATGTGCTGGATATTTTGTATTTCCATACATATTTTTAATCCTCGTTCTGGCCTGCAGGTAAGTTACTTAGAAACAGTTTAATGCCTTCACGTCTTATTTTTAAAAACATTTTAAAGTGGGGCCGGAGCAACATTTAGTCTAACGTTTTTGCCCCTCCACTGAGGCCCAGCCCCTTCTAGCTCGGTACTGATGCCCTGTGCGTGGTGAGGTTTCCAGTTCTGGCTGGTGGGAAGGGCCCTGGGTGAGCAATGGATGCGTAAGCCTCCCCTGTAGTAGTTTCCTCACCTGCATACGCTGATCAGTACTGAGCCTGTGACCTTGGGTCCCCTTCAGTCAGTCACATCTCCCCCCTTTGTCCTCTGCCCCAGACTCCCAGCTGTCTCCTCAACTCAAAGATCACTGGGCTTTGTGTGGGTTTCCCACCCCCGACCCGAGGCCTGGAAAGTCTCTCCAGGCATGGATCAGGTCCTTCCTAGGGCCAGGGACGAACTGCAGCCGAGGTACGTGCCCTTGACCAGAATCAGACCCGCGACTCAGTTTTATATATTGTGTCATTTTTATTTTTTATTTTTAAGTGGGAGCACAAACTGTATCCCAGTTACTCCATCTTGATTATCTGCTTTGGGCATTAATTGATTTCTAAAACCAAGTTTATCTATATCTATAAAATGTAAATAATGCCACCACTTAGTAGGAGAGTTGTACTAAAAAGTACGTTCTTGTAACACTATACACGTTAGTGACTTCCCTGATAGTTCTGGAGCTGGGATTTGAAGCCTGGAAGTTAGACTCCAAAGTTGTCCTCTTAACAGTGATGCCAGTCTGGCCTTGATTGGCTTCGTGGGAGTGTGTCAGTTACCTGCTCCCACGACGCTGCTGCGCACTGAGCCAGAGGCCTTTGCTCCCAAGGTCTCGGCCTGGGCAGGCCGTTCGGTGCTTGCGGCCGGGTTTGGTAGAGCTCGTCGTGGCTCTGTGGTTGCTTCGTGTCAGCCCGATGGCTGCTCATCTTGTCTTCGCTCTCTCATGTATCTGGTGGCTTGAAAGCCAAAGGTTCAACATCTTAACTTT